TGATCAAAATGAATGGTAATCTGATGTTAGATCTGAGGAATATGCTGACTAAGGAAGAAGTTCTCAGTCCGGGTTTTTGATTGTTCTTGGTTGCTTTAATATCCGACACTTCTCCAATAGTTAGGCTAGTTATTTTCTAAAGCCTGTGATCTTAACGATCTTGGGGAAAGAGCTGAGACTAGGATATAAAAACGAGCAACAGCAACAAGACTTCAACAGTGAATGAGTTAGATTGGATGAAGATTGGAGTAGGATCGAGTTGGATTAAGATTTCAACAGTTCTGCAGTAAAGGCTTGAAAAGCAATAAATCTCTCTAAATCGGTAATAAATTCAAAGAAGTGTCAGGGTTTGCGGGTAAATGGCTAGAAATATCAACAGAGTCAAAATTTAGAGGCTAGGAGTCGCGCCCGATTTTCCCAAAGGAGACATCAATCACCCAGGCAAATCACAAATAGTGAAGAGAAAGGAAGAAAGGAAGCAAGGAAGAAAGGAAGAAGGGAAGTGGGTGATTGACTTTAACTGAATTTTGGAAAGAATTGGTAGAAACTTGGAAACGTTAAGATTGACGATTCTATGCATATTGTCAAAATCGAGAATTGTTTGAAAAGCGAAAAGCGGCCATCGAGTAGCAATCGAATTTAGCCGAAAAAAACAGAAAACCCTATTCAAATGTCACTAGGAATAGTTAACTTTTCGAAAAGACAGCACACTTTTTTACACCCAAGAAGCGATCGAATCTCGGATCGGCCCTTCTCGAGATCGTTCAATCAAAACAACTGTCGCCGGCGCTCTCGATCAATCAACAAAATAAGATTTCGTTTTAAAGTTCTTTTTAAAGCTCTTTTTGAGCGCTGATTATCCAATGCGCTCCAGAATCCACTAAAAAGTATGTAAATTCTCGATAGAATCAAAAATTTTCAAGAAAATCTCTTGCTCTCTTTCAACCCTGATAAGCTAAAATTTCCAAAATCGTCTCTAAAAGTAAATAATTAAATTTAAAGCTACTGTGACATCCAACTAGACGAATGGCTAACGGTGGGTGACAAATTTCTCAATTTTCAGGCAGAAATTGACAACGGAAATGCAAGGGGCGCTGCATAATAAACACATCAATTGTGCAGGGTGGAATTGGCGGCCAAAAGGCGAAAAGGGGCATAATTCGATGAACTAGATGGGCGAGAGGGGAATGGTTTGTCATTTTTGAAGCAAATGGAAGCAGGGGAGGGGTGGGGGCGATTATCTGTCGTTGGATCTCCAAAAAAAAAATGTCGCAAAATCAAAATAATCACTTTTTCAGCTCAAGTGCCTGCCAAAACAAGTGTGCAAAAGTTTTTAGGATACCTTTTTGAATCCATAGCGCAGCAAATCGGTCAAACTCTTCCCTAACAAAACTCGAATTTTTAAAAATCGCAAAAAATCCCTATTTCTTAACATTTTCCTAACCAAAGACATCCATAATTCGTAAAAAGTTTAAAAAAATTGGGAAATTCTTTAAGCAAAAACGTTTCTCGAGGTTGATCTTGATTTTGATAGGAAAAAGAAACAGAAAAGGTCATTTCTCAACTCGAAACTGCTTCGAAATGAAATATTGCCCTTGAAAATCGGGGAATAGTCAAGAAAACAAAGAGGAAATGGGCAAAATGGGCAGAAGTTGAGGGTTGAAATTGTTTTTTCGGTCGATAGTTGAAATTATTTTTCCGCCTAAACAAGTCGATAGAATTTATGAGTGATTGGAAGTGAAAATTTATGAGTGCAAGTCGCAAATTCTCTTGCTCATCACCGATTCTCGTGTCATCACAAAGGGGCATCATTGTCTGAAGAAAAAAGGGGAGAAGGGAAAGGGGAAGGGAAAGAGAAAATCACAGATTAAGTCCAACAGATCGTAATTCTTAGGAGCTGGACAAAGATCGATCGTCAAATTATATCAAATCTTTCAAATCGTTGATCGTCGACAGATCACAGAATTCAACAATCACTCGTGACTCCCAAAACATACTTGATTCTGCAATTGATCATTTTCGACAATTTCCAGGGCCATCATTCGCATCCCGAAGCAATTTCAAAACGATGAGAATGTCCTAATAATCGCTGCGAATCAATACGAACTTTGGGCAGCTGGCGATTCCGACCAATCTGGCCCCATTTTATTTTCCTTTCCTTCGAACAGCGTTCAGTTTTCAGGAGAGGCCCTTTTCATCTTACTAGGTCCAAATTTCTGTCAAATGCAAGGTCAGGGTCTTTTAAACTTCGTACAGAAAAACTTTGAAAGCCCTTCCTTTAACTTTACGCAAAACAAATTCCTTTTTCGCTTTCTCAAATGGCATAAAGGACCTAACCCTTATGTTTTTGCTTTGAATTCCGCATGCTTCGTTGGTTGCTGTAAACATTCAATATTTTTTAACGTATTATGAATAAAGTCCATTTTTAAACTGTGTAGGTGGTGTTTGTTACACAACTTACACATGCACGATAAATCGCTTAAACTTGCTCACAAATACGAAGAAACAGGGTAAACTCGCAAGGGAAGTGCACTCAATTAAGGCGGTGCACATCGGCGCGAAATGGCGTTTTCTATCGGATTTTTCTGGGAGTACCTTTTTTAGATGCACAAAATTGTGCTGATTCCGAATCTGAAGGAATTTTTCAAATCCCTTTGAAAGAAATTTTTTAAATTGAGTTTTAGCGGTTTTTTGGTCATTTTGTATGGGAAATTTTGTGGTACCCTGCAGTTTGGGCCTCGTAGCTCGACAATCAGTGTCTAGAACAAAAACGAGGGGATAATTTTTATTCTAGAGACTCTCACGAACATTTTGATACAAAAATCATCAAATTTGCTCAACTCTACAAAAAGTTATAACATTTTTAAAAAAGAAATGAGAAAATTTAAAAAATTCTCTATTGCACAATTTTTTTGCTCAAAAGAACAATGTAGCTATGTATCGTATTCACTCAAAAAAATTAAGGAATATGCAAAATAATAGCTCAAGTGTGCGGGAGAGTCGAACCAACAATCCCATACTTTTGCGCGGGATTCACGTCGCGCGCCTTAGACCACTCGGCCACGGTTTCCCCTTATGTTTTTAGTGTATTTTGCAAAATTTCTTTAAAGATGTTATAACTTTTTGTAGAGTTGAGCAAATTTGATGATTTTTGTATCAAAATGTTCGTGAGAGTCTCTAGAATAAAAATTATCTCCTCGTTTTTTGTTCTAGACCCTCGTTGTCGAATTACGGTAGAGAAATTCCTGAAAAAGGATCGGTCAGATTCCTTGACGCCAGCTTCTCGCTTCAAGGCCTGGCCTTGTCTATTTTCTTTGTCTGCCAATCTCTGATCTTGTGAATTGGCTTTCTCAGCGGCGATACAAGATCTACACAGCGGCATCAGTGATTCGAAAGTTTGCAAAATCTCGGCATCTACCAACGTTGGCAGCCCAATAATGCCCATATAAAGCATGAAACGCTGCGTGCAATTCGTGTTCTTGTGATAGATCGACACTAGAAGACTGTTCAAGAGAGGCAAATTGCAAGATTTGACCTGGAATGCTCAGACCGAATGGCCAATGCGAAAGAGTCAAGTTGATTCCTTTTGTTCATTCTAGGCCAAGCCAAATCCAAAGGTTTTAAGCCAATTCAATGGTAAGGCTGAAAAACCTGGCAAATACCAATACCAATGGCAAATAAAGGCCATTGGTTTCGGCTGGATTTTGGCTTGATTTTGGCTTGATTTTGGCTTGAATTTGGCCTTTTCAAAAACTTGGCTTTGTCTTTTCCATTGACAATCCGACTTTAAGCTCGAATATCTTGGTGTTTAGCTATTTAATTTCTACATTTTGGTTTCATTAGATGCGCCCAGTCTTTCTCTATCGATTCGTATAAAAACTATTGAAATTCGTTGGCCCAATTCAAAGAAATTTGAGCTTAAAGTTCGATTACCAATAGTAAATATTCCACTGGCCTCTCTGGCCTGTGGGATCTGGCCAAGGCTTCCCAAGGTTCAGTTTTGATCGAATCTAAACAAGATCTAGCCTGATTTTGTTTGAAATTATGCTTGTAGTAAGATATTCTTTTGATTCAACAGTCAAAAAAGTCAAATTCGATCAAAACCTTTTCAAAAAAACCTCACGATCCGTTCTTTAAGAGAAATGATCGGAATCGGAAAGAGAATGACTGCAATGGTCAATAGCTTTCGAACCTTACTAGCGCCGAAGATCGAAAAGAAGAGTCGAAAAGATAAAAGTCTGGACCTGGGCTTTCCATTCCGACTAAGCCAATAAGGGGATTAAGATGTAGACTTGGCTATTGATCTTCTTTTTATAATAATCACTATTGATCAAGATTCTCATTGATCTAGTGATAATCTTCATTGATCACTAAACGCTGAGTAAAATGATCGGAATCGGAAACAGAATGACTGCAATGGTCGATAGCTTACATACGAGAATGTGCACAAAAGGGTATTTTGCGGGTGAAGTGCTAAAAAGCGCAATGAAATAGAGCTTTTTGAAAAGTGGAACCACCAAATATGGTTTTGTGTACATTCTACCGTCAACCTCTTGATGGCGTCTTCTAAAACGTGCTCCTTTCGTATATTTAAAGAAACTTTTGGCCATAAATTTCATTTCATTCAATTCGTTCAACAGGTGTATATGCCGTAAATACTGTGATAGTACCCCACCGGCCTCTAGTGCGTGCCACACTGGTGGGGTACTCTTACAATGTTTACGGTAGCTAGTAATGGTATTTTGTTCGGGACTTTTCCTTATATTAATTACGATGTTATCTCTGCTATAATTTCTCATTTAGGGGAGATGTCGAACAGGCCGGAGAACCAACCATTGTTCCAAAAGGACTTCTTGGTACAATTGCCAAAGGAGGTTTGTTAAAGCCTGTGGGAGTAATTGTTTAATGTTAGATTGCTTATCGCATCATCGCCCATTTGACACCGCGCGATTTGATGACTTGTGCTGGCGTTTCACGGACGTGGCAACGGATTTGTGAAGATGATCAGACGTGGCGACAGAAATGTTTCGAGAACGGATATGTGGAATTTGATGCGCCAAGGTTTGTTACAGTTTTGAGCTGATAATATAACAATTAAAAGTACATATCTGGTAGATTTATATTAAGCTAGATTTTCAGACTTGTAGAATATCGGACAGTAATGTTATTCATTCCAAAGGAAACAAGGATATAAAGCATATGATAATGTTCAAATGAACTGTTTCATATTTTTGAAATCAATTGTAAAAAGACTCGTCTCAAACTTGTTATTTTAGTTTTCGTTTTCTCGGAGGTTGGGCGGTGAATCCAGCGCATCGAGCAAATAAGCAAGTGGGGATCACAATCTGTTCACATATGGACCTTCAAGAAGCACAGCAGAATCGACAGGCACGCGAGATAGCATATGGACAGTTAGTGACCAAACTTATTGCAGAATGGAGTTTTTCTAGATGTTTTGAGCGTTCGCCATGGAAGTCGCTTTTACTTGCGAAAGAGGCGAATCATTTCGAATTGGCGATCCCGGGCGATTCAATCTAGCACTGTTCTGGAGGTTTGAATAAATGGTTTGACCGAAAAGATGGTTTTTAGGATGACTTTAAATACACAATTTCTCTACAAGTTCGCCCTGGTCTTATCATTACTGGTTCTCATGATTATAAGTGGCGGGTCTGGAATTTTGAAGATGCTCAAGTTTGTTTTGTTTAATTATTATTGTACGTCCGAATTTAGCCGGCTTTTACTCTAACTGGTCAGAATGGTCTCCTTTATTCGTATCAAGTGAGCGAAGATCGCAAATACATTGTCTGGTTAGTTAATAGATTATAGCTAGTGCAATTCATGAGAGTTGCCAATGAAGCTAAAAAGATTCAAACAGAAATTCTTATGACAACAAATTCTATTGTAATATTTCAGTAGCGGGTTAGATGGAACGGTGCGCGTTTGGTATGGTCAAACCGGTGCACAGCTTCATGTTTTGCAGGGACATACGCATAGGATTTCATGCATGAGTCTACATGGGACAACGTGAGCGATCGGAATTTTCTGTTGAGCTAAGATCATAATGTTTTTAGTCTTGTTTCTGGATCGTGGGATCAAACACTCCGAGTCTGGGACATTGTCGACGGGAAATGCCTTCACATTTTGGCTGTCGCTGCTTGGGTATGTGTATCAAAGTTAGGGCTTAAACAAAGCTAAATTTCAGGTGAATTTTGTGAAATTTGATGGAGAACGGGTTGTATTTGATGGCCAAGCTTTTGCCGTAAACGTTTGTACAGTTATTAGTGCAATTTATGATATTCTATTAGGTTTGGAATGTACACACGGAAGAGTGTTTGCACATGCTGACCGGTCACACGGAAAGGATCAATTCTCTTTTGGTGAGTTGAGTTGTCAAATTTTGGCTTTAATGAGGATTCTGTTTTAGTTTGAGCCAGAGCGCGATCTTGTCGTTTCGGGCAGTCATGACGGAACTATTCGCGTCTGGGATGTGCAAAGAGGAAGTGCGTTTTTACTTGTTCACTATTCTATTACAATGTCATCTATATTTGTTTCTTTCAGCATGCATCGCAAATATTGTCTTTCATGAAGGGTCACGGCTCAGTGGTTACTTTGAGATGCAGCTTCGCGGAAACATTTTGGCCTGCTATTACGCCTCGGAAGTTAAGGTATGTTTAATTAGTCTTATGAAAACTACTTCCATTTCTTTAGGTTTGGGACATTCGTGAGGGTGGCTCGTGCCTTCACCACTTGCATGGCGTAAATGGTCACACGTCGGCCATCACTTCATTGCAATTGCTCGACTCCGGCCTTTTGGTGACAGGTTCGATGAATGGATCGGTCATGCTCTGGGATGTGGACAAAGGTATACTCTTTTAAATTACCGATAGGAGTATTTTAACAAAATCCATAGTCTAGAAAATCCAGACTTCAGGCTTTTATTTAGACTAGTGTTTATAACTACGTAACATGATTCATTGACGATTCAAGCTTAGAAATATGTTGATAGTTAGTATTCTGTTGTTAATTTTTTTATCAACCAGGCAAGAATTTTTCATTTTTAGGTATCTTTATTCGTGATCTCATTCCATTGGTTGACCATCGCCATTATTATTGGAATCTCGAAGCCTCTGAAACATCACTCGTCTGTGGAGTTCGAGTTTGGGAAGACCGATCGGGAGAGGAGACAAAGGTCATCTTGATTGATTTTGACGCATCATATCCCTAGGTATATTTGTATTTTTGCTCTTTGCCTAGGCCTTATTGTGATTTTCCGAAGAATTCTGTCGGTATTTCCATTCCTCTGAGCTTTCATTGCTAGTGATTTCCTTTCAATGGTTACCCACATTTTACACACTTGTACGTCATAGTCTTGATTTTGTGAACCTTTTTCCATTAACCTGCTGCTAGTCATTGACCTTCTTGAATGTTTGAGAATCATCAAGTGCAAACCATCTTTGAAAGTTTCTATTTCTTCGAGTTAGTTGGTTGGTTGCTCTCAACGTTCGATTATTTTTACTCGGTATCGAGTCCTGTGATTCTTTATTTGCTCGATTTTTCAAGATTAAAGAATCTATACCTCACCGATTTAAATCTAACTAAACTGCACAAGCAACTGATATTGGCAAAAAAGCAACTCAAATCAATTGCCAAACTCCTTCACTGAATACGATAAAGATCATTATCAATAGTGCATATTATAAAAAGAAGATCAATAGCCAATAGTCAACATCTTAATGAAAATTTTCACTCCGACAAAAGCGCTGGTTTTAGGCCTACAGTGTTCAAATGTACGGTGTGCTTGTTAACTTTTCGTTGTTCACACGTTTCAATTAACAGAATCTTTCAATCAAAATGCTTACGATTTTGTTACACAAAATTTTTGTTACTCTTGATTTTGTGAACCTTTTTCCATTAACCTGCTGCTAGTCATTGACCCTCTTGAATGTTTCAGAATCATCAAGTGTAAACCATCTTTCCAAATTTCTATCCCTTCAAATTAGTTGGTTGGTTGCTGTCAACGTTCGATTATTTTTAGTCCGTATCGAGTCCTGTTCGCAATGGCACAGAAGTTGATAACTCGTGCCAAAGTCCAAATGACTAGAGCTCTAAATAGTGGCCTAGCATTTGAGGAAAGTTCGTTAAAGGTTATTCGAGATTTGGAGGTTGAAAATAACCCCGGAAAAATTGAAAAACTGCTAACGCAGTCAGATACTGACGTAGCGAAGATGAATAACTACAAGGAAAGAGTAGATGAAATTCGAGATAGAAATTTCGAAATTTCACTCGGAAGAAGTTGAAGAATGGGGAGAATACCTTGAGAGGAAAGATGAGGATTAGGAAAAGTTACTTGACCTAACGCTTAATTTGGAATTGGCTATGAAGCAAGCTCGTGAAAAATTCGAAGAAGTCAACAAAGTTATGGTGGTCAATGATGTCACGATTGGACAGCCAAGTGCGAAGGACATCCAATGCCCCTCATCAATTGCAGCAAATGCAAGCGATAATTGATCAGGCGATGCGAGAGGAGGAATGGCTCAACTTCAACGAGGTTACTTTCCGTTAAACATACCCGATTTTGATGGTAGCCACGAAAGTTGGCATAACTGGTGGAAAATTTTTGACAAATATGTTCACTTGACGCTTCAGGATGATTTAGTAAAGTTAAATGTCCTTACACAAACATGTAGAGGCAAAGCTGCTAGATTCATCAAGAACGCTAGCAAAAACGTCAACTTTCACCAGTTTTGCAAAAGCTCAACAGAATGAAGCTAGAAAGTGCATCTTCTGCGCAAGAAACAACCACAAATCAAAGGATTGGCGTGAAATGTCAAGGATGGATCTTCAACGTATTATGGAATGCGTGAGGACAGTAAGAGTGTGCGCCATATGCTTTGGAGGAGGGCACCTCGCAACTGCCGACACGCGAGGTGCCAGAAATGCCAAGGACAACACCACACAAACACGTGCAGGAAATCAGGTCCCAATTTTGGTAATAGAGTTAATACATTTAGGCAAAACACAGCTAGTAATTTAAGTCGTCTACAAGTTCAAGAAAATTTGAATAATGGATATGTTCAACTCGCCGCAACAGGATATTTTGCTCAAAATTCACAAATGGACTGCGGTTCGGAGTTTTTCGTGCCATCAAAGAGGAGCCAGCAAGTCATCCAGCCAAAAATTCAACAGCAAACAGCATCAATAAGGCCTCGAAAAGTTGAACTCAAATTCCAAGTTTACTATGTTATAACAGTTCCCAAATTAATCGGAAAGTTCGACTCACAAGTATGTTACAAATTGTTGCCAAGAATGAGGATTATCAAATCAATGAGAGTGCAAACATTTTATTGGACACAGGTTCAACGGATAGTTTTATTACAAAAAGATTCGTACAAAAATTAAACTTACAAGTTTCCACAACCAAAGATTTAAAGATCAGAACAGCTATTGGAGCGGTAAGTTCAATTCACACGAAATGTTACAAAGTTTTATCGCAAAACAAGAAAGCTTTCGACAAAAACCTACCTGACGCCTTCATTCTCGACGTGATGGAGTTGCCCAGTCTTCCACCAGCAAACATTCAGAACAACCATCAGAAGAAAATTTCTGGGACCTTGAAAGAATTGGCATCAATGAATCGCCTGAAGCAAAGACGGCTGAATAGGAACAGCAGGAAGTTGTGGAAAGATTCAAAAAGGAGGTGAAAATTATCAACGGAAAAGTTCACGTTAAATTTCCATGGATCGAGCAAAATCCACGAATCAATGACAACTTCAAATTGGTAATGCAATACCTGCACAGCTTGACTAAACAACTAAAGAGAAATCCTGAGCTACTGGCAAAGTACAGTGAAGAACTCAAGAAGCAAATGGAGCAAGGAATTTTGGAGGAAGCACCTAGAGAGATGAACGAACACAAATGTCGAATTGCCAAAACTTTTAACGAAACAACAACAGAAACAACAATAAAGTTGAAAGGTTGGTAAGTTAACAAGTTTAAATATTCTTTTGTGTTTTGTGACATTTGTGTTCGTCCATCTCTCTGTCATTAAGTCATTAAAACAAAGGGAACCGTTCCAGAAAAAAAACTCAAAAACACTTAACTTGTGTTGTAGCAGTTGATCTTGATGAATTTGCGATTAAATGGCAAAGCAAAACGGTGAAAAATGAATTGAAAAACAACGGAAAATGGCTTTAAGCAATGGAAATTGCGGATTACGGTAGCTAGTGCATTTAAGAATGCGTCCCCAAAATTTTTCTCTGTAAACGCTCTTGCGTTCGTGTATCAATCAACGCTGAAAGTGGGCACTAACACCGTTGATTAAGGTATAAAGAAAGAAAAAAGAAAGACTAAGGTAGAGAAGAGAAAGTTGACAAGTCTACATTAAGTTAAGTCTTGTCTAAGTGTTTTAAATGATCTAGTATAAGTGTTTATGAGAAATATAATGCTACGGGATAAACTTAGGTTTTAGTGTTCAAATTGAATTGCAGTCTGTTTTCTGGGAAATTTAAGAGAATCTTTGAAGAAAAGTTTATTCTTTCTAATAAATGTAATATCTATTAGTGAAATAATTGTATTAAAGGGATATTTGTTTTCATTAAGTAGTGTTATAAGGTTTTTCGTGTGTGAACTAAATCTACAAGGCTGCTGCAATAACGGACAACCCTCGGGGACACTGGATTATTAAAAAAAATTGTGGGGGACCGATACTTCAATGTCGCGTGGAGGGCAATGCTGCAGTTTTCCCAGGGGGGAAGTAATTCAGGATTTCTGGGGGAATGTATTATCGCCCCCCCGCTGTTTACATTCTACCGTAAAACTCTTGATGGCGCGTTCGATCTGCATCGTGCGATCCTCCAGCGGTGAGGGAGGGCGGGGGCTTCTTCAGTAGGGGGGTGATAATGTAATTTTCCCCAATCCTGATAAAATCACCTTCAACACCCCTATGCTTGATAGATTATGGCATGCAACTAACGTATTTTTTGGCATTATAATAGTTTTAAAATCGTAAGCGTCGATTTTATTGCATAGCTCAGTGAAGAGTTTCTCAGATTTTTTCTATCAACGAGAATGTGCACAAAAGTGTATTTCGTGGATGAAGTGCTAAAAAGCGCAATGAAAAAGAGCTTTTTGAAAAGTGCAACCACCAAATATGTTTTTTGTGTACATTCTACCGTAAATCTCTTGATGGCGCATTCTAAAACGTGCTCCTTTCGTATATTTAACTAAACTTTTTGCCACAAATTTCATTCTTTTCAATTCGTTCAGCAGGTGTATATACCTTAAATACGGTGAAAGTACCCCACCAGCCTCTAGTGCGTGCCACACGGGTGCTACTATTACAGTATTCACAGGAGCTAGTAATAGTATTTTGTTCGGGGTTTTCCTTTTATTAATTACTATTAATCTCTGCTATAATTTTTCATTTAGGGGAGATGTCGAAAAGGTCGAAAAGGTCGAAAAGGAACCAACCATTAATCCGAAAGGACTTCTTGGCACAATTGCCAAAGGAGGTTTGTTGAAACCTGTGGGAGTAATTGTTTAGTTTTAGATTGCTTATCGCATCATCGCCCATTTGACACCGCACGATTTGATGAGTTGTGCTGGCGTTTCGCGGACGTGGCAACGGATTTGTGAAGATGATCAGACATGGCGACAGAAATGTTTCGAGAACGGATATGTGGAATTTGATGCGCCAAGGTTTGTTACAGTTTTGAGCCGATAATATAACACTTAAAAATACATATCTGATAGATTTATATTAGGCTAGATTTTAAGACTTGTAAAATATAGGACAATAATGTTATTAATTCCAAAGAAAACCAAGATTTAAAGCGAGGGAAAACATATGATAATGTTTGTTTAGATGAACTGGTTCATATTTAGGAAATTGTAAAAAGACTCGTCTCAAACTTTCTTTTAGTTTTCGTTTTCTCGGGGGTTGGGCGGTGAAACGAGCAAATGAGCAAGCCGGAATCTGTTCACATATGGACCTTCAAGAAGCACATCAGAATCGACAAGCACGCGAGATCGCATATGGACAGTTAGTGACCGAACTTGTTGCGGAATGAATTTTTTTCTAGATGTTATGAGCGTTCGCCATGGAAGTCGCTGTACTTGCGAAAGAAGCGAATCATTTCGAATTGGCGATCCCGAGCGATTCAATCAAGCACTGTTCTAGATGTTTGAATAAATGATTTAACCGAAAAGATGCTTTTTTAGGATGACCTTCTGTATCAAGTCTTGTATCAGAAAAATCAGTCTGCTCGTATCATTACTAGTTTTCATGATTATAAGTTGCGGGTCTGGAATGCTGGAGATGCTCAAGTTTGTTTTGTTTAATTGTTATTGTACATCCGAATTTAGCCGGCTTTCACTCTAAGTGGTCAGCGCGGTTCCGGTTATTCGTATCAAGGGAGCGAAGATGGCAAATACATTGTCTCGTTAGTTAATAGCCTATAGTTAGTGCAATTCATAAGTTTTGCCAAGGAAGCTAAAAAGATTCAAACAAAGATTCTTATGACAACAAAGTCTATTGTAAGATTTCAGTAGCGAGTCTGATGGAACAGTGCGCGTTTTGTGTGGTAAAACTGGTGCAGAGCTTCATTTTTTGACGGATTTGATTCTATGCATGAGTCTACATGGCACAACGTGAGTGATCTGAATTTTGTGTTATAGCTAAGATCATAATGTTTTAGTCTTGTTTCTGGATCATCGGATCTAACACTTCGAGTCTGGGACATTGTCGACGGGAAATGCCTTCACATTTTGGCTATCGAGGCGGAGGTATGTGTATTAAAGTTATCGCTTAAACAAAGTTAACTTTCAGGCGTATTTTGTGAAATTTGATGGAAAACGGGTTGTATTTATCGGCCATGGATTTACCGTAAACGTTTGTACAGTTACTAGTCCAATTTATAATATTCTATTAGGTTTGGATTATACACACGGAAGAGTGTTTGCACACGCTGACGGGCCACACGGGGCCAGTCGATTCACTTTTGGTGAGTTGAGTTGTCGAATTTTGGCTTTAATCAGGATTCTATTTTAGTTTGAGCCAGAGCGCGGTCTTGTCGTGTCGGGTAGTAGTGATGACGGAACGATTCGCGTCTGGGATGTGCAAAGAGGAAGTGAGTTTTACTTGTTACTATTCTGTTACATGTCATCTATATTTGTTTCTTTCAGCATGCATCGCACTTATTGGCTGTCGTCACAATTTAAGGTACACAGGTAACTTTGGGATGCAGCTTCGCGGAAACAATTTGGCCTGCTATTACGCCTCGGAAGTTAAGGTATGTTTAATCAATCCTATGCAAACTACTTCCATTTCTTTAGGTTTGGGACATTCGTGAGGGTGGCTCATGCCTTCACCACTTGCATGGCGGAAATGGTCAGACGTCGACCATCACTTCATTGCAATTGCTCGACTCCGGACTTTTGGTGACAGGTTCGAGGAATGGCTCGGTGAAGCTGTGGGATGTGAAGAAAGGTATGCGGTTTTAAATTACCTAATGCTATCTGCAATAAGATCCAGACTGCAAGCCGGGATTTAAAGTAGAACTTATTAACTACACAACTTGGCTTGTCAACTATTGAAGCTTCAATCTATGACAAAGTCTAGTGTCTTATTAATTTTTTTTTCATTTTAAGGTACCTTCGTTCGTGATCTCGTTCGATCTCGTTGGGGTGACCCTGGCCGTTATTATTGTAATCTCAAAGCCTCTGAAACATTACTCGTATGTGGAGTTCGATCGGTAGAGGAGGCAAAGCTCATCTTGATCGATCTTGACGCATCATATCCATAGGTATATTTGTATTTTTGCTATTTCCCTATTGTGGTTTTCTGAAGAATTCTGTCGGTTTTTCCATTCTTCTGAACTTTCATTGCTTGTGGTTTGATTAGATTAGATTTAGATTTTGATCTTCCAATGATTACCGATAATTTACACACTTCTATGCCATACTCTTGATTTTGTGAACCTTTTTTCCATTAACCTGCTGTTAGTCATTGACCTTCTCGAATGTTTCAGAATCGTCAAGTGCAAACCGTCTTTCAAAGTTACTATTCTTTCGAATTAGTTGGTTGGTTGCTGTCAACGTTTGATTATTTTTAGTCCGTATCGAGTCCTGTGATTCTTTATTTGCTCGATTTTTCAAGATTGAAGAATCTATACCTCACCGATTTAAATCTAAATAAACTGCACAAGCAACTGATATTGGCAAAAAAGCAAAGCAAAAAACCAGGTCAACTGCCAGACTCCTTCAATGAATTCGATTCTGCAGATGAAAATTTTCACTCCGACAAAAGCTCTGGCTTTAGGCCTACAGTTTTCTAATGTACGGTGTGCTGTTTGACTTTTGATTGTTCACAGGTTTCAATTAACAGAATCCTGCTTACCATTTTGCTACACGAAACTCTAACAAGGAAAGTGCACCCGTTTAAGGTGAACTTTAGGATCGAGATCCAAAACCATTCTTTTTGCGCTATATAAACCAAACCATATGCGATCTCGCGTGCTTGCCGATTCTGCTGTGCTTCTTGAAGGTCCATATGTGAACTGATTGTGATTCCCGCTAGCTCATTTGCTCGGTTCGCCGCCCAACCTCCGAGAAAACGAAAACTGAAAAAGTTTGAGACTAGTCTTTTACAAAGTCCCCGAACAAAATACTAGTATTACTAGCTACCGTAAATACGGTAATAGCACTCCACGTGTGGCACGCACTAGAGGAGGATCAGGTACTATTAAAGTATTTACGGTATATAGAGCTGCTAAACGAATTGAAAAGAATGAAATTTATGGCAAAAAGTCTCCTTAATTATACGAAAGGGCCAGGTTTTTAGAATGCGTCATCAAGAGGTTTACGGTAGAATGTGCACTAACCCATTTTTGGGTGGTTCCACTTTTCAAAAATTTCATTACCCTTTTTGGCGCTTCACCCACGAAATACCCTTTTATGCACATACTCGTAGGTAAGGTGAAGTTTATACTAATACTCAAAAACCTTTGCGACTACGCGACTGTACGAGGTTGGATAACTGACTTGTCAGGGCTTGTCAAAACTTGTCAACTTTCTCTTCTCTACCGTAGTCTTTCTTTTTTTTTCTTTCTTTATACCGTAATCAAGTGTGTAAGTGCCCACTTTCGGCGTTGATTGTTGCACGAACGCAAGAGCGTTTACAGAGAAAAATTTTGGGGCGCATCCCGTCGAATCTCGGGGTGCCGAAGTGACGCTGTTCAACGCGAAGATCGAGGAGAAGAACGGTCAGATTGTGGCATTCGTATCACCGTTGATCGTGAAGTCGTAAGATTTATGGAGAATTGCTGAGCACTCTGTGAATATTTTTCTTTGAATTTATCAAAGAAAATCTTTCGTTGATGAAAGAAAATGTGTTGCTCTCAGTGTTTCACGAGAATTGGCAGAGTTTCGTGGATTGTGTGAAACTCTTCGTGAGGATCAATCTTTTTCAATGAAAAACTTCGCATTGCTTTCTGTGGGAATCCAGCGAGGAGGGAGGATCTGAGATACGAGCAACCCACTGCTATCTTCCTTCAAGCTCGTTGCGCGCTTGTTGAGAAGAAAGTATTTGGAGAGTAGCACGAAATGCTTGTCTTTCATCGGCCTCCACACGCTTTTCGCTTCCAAATTAAAATGTTCCATGATTTGTGTCCCTGCAAAATGTTTGCCTCTTTGAGATAAACATGTGATTTGTACTTATTTCTTGGGTAAGATTTTAAACTATTCGCTAATTAGATAAATTTAATTAAAGATAAACTTATTGGTTACTCTATCGGTGTAACATTATACTTTCCCTTAAAAAGTGCCAATTTACACTACAGTACAATGTTACAGACAGTCAGAAAGCCAGACAGCTTCAAAAAGGTATGCTGTTCTTGGTTGTTGTCCGACTTAAAGAAGATTTCTACACTTCTCTTCGCATAAACTATCTACCATTCAAGCCAACTATTTCCATTCACTTTTCTACACTTCTCTTCTTTTCAGTTAGACTTTTTTTTACCTGCGAATCGCTCTTTATCCTTTGTTTTTGTTTTGTAATTAATTTAATCACTCTTTGGTAATCATCCATCTGTCGAATTTAAGGGGTTTAAACTGATTTATCTAACTTGTTTTTGATGTTTTGCGGTCTGCTGATGGAACCTGGTCTTGTTTTCTTGCAAAAGTGGATGGAAAAGCCTAAAATAGCTAGAAACAAGAAAAAGAATATAACATTTCTCTAGTGAACGTCTCTCGTGCTTCCTCTCCCAATCTCACTTCTCCGTGACTTTATTTACCGATCAAGATCTCCATTTTCAAGCAGGCAACGCATTCTTTCACAGGCTCCCGTCATTTGAATGATTGTCGAAGAGAAACGAAAGCTTAGGTTGTCGTAAAAATTCCTCTCATCAACGATAAAAATTACGTCATCGTATTGATTATTCGTATTGATTCCTGGCGATTATTAGAACATTCTCATCGTTTTGAAATTGCTTCGGGATGCGAATGATGGGCCTGGAAATTGTCGAAAATTATCAATTGGAGAATCAAGTATGATTTGGGAGCCGCGAGTGATCGTTGAAGTCTGTGATCTGTCGACGATCAACGATTTGAAAGATGTACGTGTAATTTGACGATCGATCTTTGTCTAGCTCCTAAGAATTACGATCTGTTGGACTTAATCTGTGATTTTCTTTTTCTCTTTCCCTTCCCCTTTTCCCCTTTTTTCTTCAGACAATGATGCCCCTTTGTGATGACACGAGAATCGGTGATACGCAAGAGAATTGCACTCATAAATTTTCACTTCTAATCACTCATAAATTCTATCATATTTTACGCATCTCGAAAAAAACTTCAATCTTGAAAAATCGAGCAAATAAAGAATCACAGGACTCAATACGGACTAAAAATAATCAAATGTTGACAGCAACCAACCAACGAATTCGAAGGAATAGTATCTTTGAAAGACGGTTTGCACTTGACGATTCTGAAACATTCAAGAAGGTCAATGACTAACAGCAGGTTAATGGAAAGAAAGGTTCAAAAAATCAAGACTATGGCATACAACTGTATAAAATGTAGGTAATCATTGAAAGGAACAAGCATTGAAAGTTCAGAAGAATGGAAAAACCAACAGAATTCTTCGGAAAATCACAATAAGGCTAGACGAGGCAAAGATAGAAATATACCTAATATACCACCTGCAGTCTGGATCTTATTGCCTATAGTATTAGGTAATTTACAACATCATACCCTTATTCACATCCCACAGCTTGACCGAGCCATTCATCGAACCTGTCACCAAAAGTCCGAGTCGAGCAATTGCAATGAAGTGATGGTCGACGTCTGACCATTTCCGCCATGCAAGTGGTGAAGGCATGAACCACCCTCACGAATGTCCCAAACCTAAATAAAAGGAAGTAGTTTTGATAGGATTGATTAAACATACCCAAATGTCCGAGTCGTAACAGCGGACCAAAATATTTCCGTGAAGCTGCATCTCAAAGTGAATTGGGAACCCTAACTCTTGAAGACAAACAAGATGTGCGATGCATGCTGAAAGAAACAAATATAGATGACATTGTAACAGAATAGTGAAAAAGTAAAACCCACTTCCTTTTTGCACATCCCAGACGCGAATCGTTCCTTCCCGACAACCCCACACGACAAGATCGCGCTCTGGCTCAAACTAAAACTGAATCCTGATTAAAGCCAAAAATTGACAACTCAACTCACCAAAAGAGAATTGATACCTTCCGTGTGACCCGTCAACATGTGCAAGCACTCCCCCCGTGTGTACATTCCAAAACCTAATAGGAATATTATAAGTGCACTAATAACTGTACAAACCTTTACGGTACAATCACGGCCATCAAATACAACCCGTTCTCCATCAAATTTCACAAAATTCTAAATTTAGCTCTGTTCAAGCCATAACTTTAATACACATACCATATACCACGCCTCGCCAGCCAAAATGTGAAGGCATTTCCCGTCGACAATGTCCCAAACTCGGAGTGTTTGATCGTTCGATCCAGAAACAAGACTAAAACATTAGGATCCTAGCCAAAACAGAAAATTCAGATCACTCACGTTTGCCATGTAGACTCATCCATGGAATATGATCCGTATGACCCTGCAAAACATGAAGCTGTGCACCGGTTTGACCACACACAAACGCGCACCGTTTCATCAAACCCACTACTGAAATATTACAATAGACTTTGTTGTCATAAGAATTTTTGCTTGAATCTTTTTAGCTTCATTGGCAACACTTATGAATTACACTAGCTATAGTCTATTAACCAACCTGACAATGTATTTGCCATCTTCGCTCACTTGATACCACCAAGGGGACTCTGATGACCATTTAGAGTAAAAGGCTAAATTCGGACGTGGAATAATAATTAAACAAAATAAACTTGAGGATCATCAACATTCCAGACCCGCAACTTATAATCCTGAGTACCAGCAATGATACGACCAGAATGAATTTGTAGACGAATGGGGTATTTAAAGTCATCCTAAAAACCATTTTTTCGGTCAAACCATTTATTCAAACCTCTAGAACAGTGCTTGATTGAATCGCTCGAGATCGCTTAATTCGAAATGATTCGCTTCTTTCCGCAAGTACAGCGACTTCCATGGCAAACGTTCATAACATCTAGCAAAAACTTCATTTCAACAAGTTAGGTCACTTAACTGTCCATATGCGATCTCGCGTGCTTGTCGATTATGCTGTGCTTCTTGAAGGTAAATGTGTGAACTGATTGTGATTCCCGCTTGCTCATTTGCTCGATTCGTCGCC